GAGATATCTTTTTATTACTGCTTCATTTTTAATTTTACTGCAAAATGGCCAAAGAATGGATCAGCATGACAGTGATTCTTTGGTAGTGATTCTTAATCATCCTACTTGGAATACACTGCAGTATTTTGTACCATTACCACTGTATATTTGAGACAAAAAATACAGGTAGTAGTACAGATTTCTCAGGATTGTCTCAATTTAGAGACGTTAAGACTGAATTACAAATAGGACACACATACCAGTGAAAGCTCAACTGGCAACTAGGAAACAGATGTTTATAGAGATTTATTATTTATATATATTTGGAAAAATAAGCACTGAGAGGAGATGTCAGGGAAAATGTACAGTAAGAGGGGCTGCTGAAAACAGAACTCTAGGGGACACCAACTTTCCAGCAGATGAAGAAAAGAGGAGCTTACAGGATGAAACAACCTGAGTGGCAGACAGAACACCAAGAGTGTTGGAAATTTTCTTTAAAGAGATTAATTTTTTAAAAGTCACAATATGTCAATGACTAGGTTGTAAGTACCTAGAGGACTAGCATGTTTTCATCTAGTAGTTAATCAATAAATCTTTGATAGATTGACCCTTTCCTATGATATGAAACAGGTATAATTAACAGTTCCCCTCTTTTAATTTTATTGTGATTGACAGTACAATCTGAAATTGTGCCACAGGGGTAACTGCATCACCTTTGAATTAGTAAGTGAAATCTGATCTATTTTTAAAAGCTTAAAAACACTTTTCAACTATTAAAAAGATTATGATTAAAGAGTTTGCTCTTAAATTCTCAAAAAGCCTGAAATTCTATTTTCTGAAAAACAAAAACATAATTTACTTTAAAATAATTCTAAATATAAGGTTATAGACACTTATATGGTAATTCTGCTGCTCTTAGCTTTTTAAAAAATACTGTAAATACAAAATGAGATTCAATTACCAGGCACCCCCTAGTGGCAGTAAAATCAAGTTAAAAAAAAATTTCATAAGGCATGGTTTAATATATAGCTCTCCCCAAACCTTGAGAATAAAACTGTTTGCCAATAAACAATTTAAGAGCATGTTATTTTACATCTATATTTTACTAGATGATGAATAGTATACAGTAACTAAAAAGTCTATTCACACACTAAAATTTCATCAATATTCTTGAAAACTACAGTAACTGAAATACATATAAATGAACTTCAAGGACTATATAATGAAAAATTACAAGATTTTAAAAAAAAATGTCATTATAGAAAACAGCTTCCAAAAAAGAAGTCATCTTTGGAACAAAGCTTTATAAATTTCTGTCAAGAAACTGGAAGCTAGATGGAGAATCAGATGAAGATATCAATAACAGAAGTATTATTCACTGTTGACCTTAAACCAGTTGCAAAACTCTCTTAAAAACACCTCAATTTCCTACTTTATAATATAGATATCAATATCAGCCTCTGTATTCTTACAGAGGTGCTATAAAAATGAAGTGAGAGCTGAATGAAAAAGATTATTACTGGTATTTACTAGCATAAATGTTTTAATAATTATGCTTTGCAATTTGTGCTTTTGCATATAAATGTACCTCTTCTGTTTAATGAATTTTTATAACCACCCTGGCAACTAAAATCAATGTTTCCTATTTTATATAAGGAGAATCTAAGACCCTAGATAAACAGGGATTCTAATCTGGGATTTTTCTCTCTAGATCTTACCTTTTTTACATGGATAGATTATAATCACATTATTTTCTGATTTGATTATAATAAACTTTGTTTAGGAATGACACCGTAACGTCAGTATTACCCAGTTCACTGAGAGGAGACTGATACTCTAGAGAAAGAACATAACCTTTGCCACTGCACTGCAACTGGAATGGCGGAACCAAGCAGCAGGACCTCGTCATAGTTCTGCACTACAATTAACAGGCAGTTTATTACCCAATTTCTCTCAGTCTTTCCACATCCACTGACTTGTGTCAGAGAAATAAAAGAATAAAATCAATTTAACCACCTAAATCAAATATACCTTAAAAAAAAATACCAAATCTGAGGAGAAGGATGGGGTGGTACGTACATAAAGTTTGCTATTTTCCTCTATCAGTTTTGAAGTTTTTCTATTTATTTGCCAATTCTCAAATATAACAATCAGAATGATATTTTCTCCTTTTTAGATCATAAACTGGGTTACAAATTACAAATAAGGCTTGTATGAATCCACCAACTATAACAAAATTTTGCAAAAACAAATCAACTTGATTTATTATGCAGTTTAGTGCACAGATATTGTCTCCCATATTTGATAATATGATATGCTATATAACTCAATATTAAATTACTTTTGGGTTCCATTATACAGTTATGATATAAAAACTATTTTTGTTTGATAAAACACAAGTAAAAATCATAAGTTAAAAATAATTATTATCATTAGCTTTTAAAATTCTGTATGGATTTTTTTTTTGTCTCTCATGAAATGAGAATTTAAGATATATATTATAGATTAAAAAAAGAAAAATAATCTCTAGCTTTATAGAAAGATATCTTAGATTAACATATCTAAAAGAAATATACCATGACTTTTATGCACATTAATAAACTTCTTCATCAGCAGGAGTCTCTATGCTCATCCTCTCACTAGCCAGATACACTGTGTTTTTTCTATCTTTTATTTAAATTTTTATGTCTTTCTTATCATTCCAACATAGGAAAAAGCACCATTATAACTTGCTAAAAATCCATACAGCCAACTAAGGAAGACTACTTTGAAAAGTGAAAGTGAAAGTCACTCAGTCCTGTCAGACTCTTTGTGACCCCATGGACTGTATAGTCCATGGCCAGAATACTGGAGTGGGTAGCCTATGCCTTCCCCAGCAGATCTTCCTGACCCAGGAATCGAACCAGGGTCTCCTGCATTGCAGGCAGATTCTTTACCAGCTGAGCTACCAGGGAAGACTACTTTAGTATATAAAGTAGTCATTCTCCAACAAACACTGCATTTCAAGAAACACTGTAGGCCCCTGCCTGCCTAGGGACTGAGACACATGGCAGTGAACATTTCCATTAGCCCAGGAAGACATTTTTGAGAAATCCATTTAATCATACTACTGGAAAGCAACAGACTATAACCAATGATGTCTCCTATCTACATTTAATTATGTGGATTACATACTGGATGACATTCTTAACTAACCTAAAAATAATGTTGTACCTGAGTAGATACAGAACCCATACCTATAATCTCATCTGGCATTTAAATCAACATTACTATAAGCATAAGGACTGTAAGTACTGTTTCTCATAGTATGCGAATGCAAATTCCCATTTATATATGATCTGAACATAAGATACAGAGCAACCCAAGAAATCTTTAAATTCTCAGCCTAAAACAAACCATTAACAGACTATCAGATACAATTATATCAGATTTAACTTTCTTTAGTTCAGTGATTTCTACTTTGGTAAAGTGAAATTTACTTTTCTTTTTGTTACTATCTACCTGTGATGGTATGAGCTATCAGAAATACACATTTGGTTTTCTTCCCCACACAGAGCTCCTAAAATCTTTGCAATTTTTTAAGTAATAAGAGTGATACTAATGAGCTTCTATCCTGGTTGCCAGGGGAACCAACCTCATGATTAGAGGGTTAGAATGTTTAACCACTTCTCCCTCCCACCCTACTCTGTGAAGAAGAGAGGAGCTGGAGGTTGGGCTAATTACTAATAGCCAATGATTCAATCAATCATGCCTATATGATGAATCTCCATAAAATATCCTAGTTGAAGAGCTCTGGAGAGCTTCCAAGTTGGTAAAAAAGAAAGCATCCATGTGCTGGCAGGGGGGCACACCTTAAACATTACAAGCACTCCTCTGCTCGAGACCCTTCCAGATCTCATTCTATACATCTCTTCATCTGGCTGTTCATTTAAAATATGTTTTACAATAAACTGGTAATAGTACATAGAGCATTTCTGAGTTCTATGAGCCATTGTCTCGCAAATTATCGTACACAGAAGGGAGTGGTGGGAAACTCCAATCCACAGCCAGTTGGTCACAAGCACAGGTGACAACCTATACCTGCAAGTGGGTCTGATGGGGGGCAGTCTTATGGAGCTGAGTCCTAAACTTGTGGGATCTAATGCTATCTCCAGGTAGGCAGTATCAGAATTTTGTTAAACTGAAGAATATCCAGCAGGTGTTGAAGACTTGGCGGGTAGGGGACACATTTGTTGGCCAGAACTGTTCCATGGGTAGTACAGTAAAGAAAACAGGACTTTTTTCCTTTCACTACACTAATAATAAAGATAGTGGCGGGAAAAAATTTGACAACATTTGAAGTTTAGAGACACCAAGTTGTATTAAATTAAAAAAAAAAGAAAATGTGCAAAAACTTGTGAAAATCTAAGAACAATTTAAAACACAGTTCCAGAAGGATATTGTGCTCAGGAAAATTATGACTCTATCACTAGCTTAATGATTCACTTTAGATTGGGTTGCTTCACTAGGCAATAATAATACAATATATAATTTAATATTGAAATCATTTATCATTCTATAAATATACTTTCACTGTAAAAACTGAAAAAAGAATGTGGCTCTCTGTTCCAAAAAGAAAGAAAATCTTAAAAATTTTATATCAATGTATTTCAAGCTGTATTCTCTAGAGCACAAGAAATTTCCTCAAAGATATACTGCTTCAGCCATGGGAGAAACTAGAGTTCCAGTTACTCAGTCTCTTCCCTCCAACTCCCGTTCTTCCCTTCAAACAGAGAAGCACCATTTATGACTCTTTTATTATATAACAAAGTTTTGCTAGCTTTTCTTTGTAAAAAGATTCCATCACAAAAATCAAATAAACATCCAAACCAAATAGTTTGAAACTTTATACAGTTAATAGTTGTTAGTAAGCTAAAACTTCAACAAGATTTTGATTTGATTTAATTTTGATATTTATATGCAGCTTAAAGAAATTTAACAAACTTTTCATTTCCTATTTCCAGGAAAAGTAAACACCTTACCCAGCATGACTAGATGATGAAGGTGGCGGCAAATCTGGTGTAAGGACATAAAGACTGTTGTTTTTTGGCAAGTGTAGTGATTTTAAGACCGTCTGAAAAAGAAAAAGTAAAAACAAAAAATAACTTTTAATTGTGCATTATTAATCTTTTCCTATAATTCTTAGAAAATTATTGCCATTGCAGTTTGACTTTTCATCTTTTGACAATTTCCTAAATAGGATAATATAGAAGAACTATTGATTCCAAATAAATTTGTTTCTCCCATGTATAAGTTAGCATAAATGAGTATTAAAATAAAATACAAATTCTTTAGCTCACAAAGAGATACAAATATACACAGTTATATACACAGTTGAAGATTATTAATTACTTCATTGAAGAAGCATAACCTTGCAACTAATATCTATTTCATTCAGGATCATTATAGCAAAAATTAGCAAGTTATGTTTTCAGAGATCATTAGACCTAGAAAAGATGATAGAGAATCTCTCAAACCAAAGATTTTATAAATGAGGAGCTATAGCCTAAGAAGTGAAAGGACCTGGATGAGGTCTCTACTGAGTGTTACCTGGGTTACTTAACTCTTCCTCCAGATAATCATCATCATGTGTTTGTGTGTGCTCAGTAGTGTCCAACTCTGGGACCCCATAGACAGTAGCCTGCCAGGCTCCACGGTCCATGAGATTTCCCAGGCAAGAATCCTGGAGTGGGTTGCCATTTCCTCCTCCAGATCTTCTCAACTCAATGATCAACCCATGTCTCTTGCATCTCCTGCACTGGCAGGCAGATTCTTTACCACTGCACCACATGGATGATAAAAAAACATTTTAACATGAAAGTCAGTGCTGAAGGTTCTTAAGAGAGGAAGGACTGGAAATGGAAATGAGGAACAAGGAGGACACATATTTTACCAGTTAGTCTAGTAGTATAATGGCTACTAGACTTTTAATTTAAAAGCAATTAAAACTGAGAATCCTCCAGAGAAACAATATCCTCAGGAAGGCAGATTTCAGTCAGAGGTAGATGGTGAAGAGAATGTATAGGCAAGAGTTTGGCAATAGAAGGAATTTTGCTAATGATGAAATTAGTTCCATAGGGCTCAGGAAAAAAGTTTCAAGCAGAGGAGAACAAAATGAAGAGAGACAGATATGGGCTGTACAGAGGCTATGGAGATTTAAGTGAGGAATAATTTGGGAATCTGAGACTCCTTGTGGTGACTGACATAAACAGTATAAAAGGCATAATGAAACTGGTTCTGGTTGAATCAAAGCAAATAATAAAGTCAAGGCTGAAAGTATTGGAAAGAAAGGTGGAGTGGATATGTAGGAATCACTTTTAACCCTGCATATGAAAGCAGAAACACCTGGGGAGAGCTGATCTTATCCTAGCATATGACCTAACTAACTTTTTTTTGACCCTCCATTAGAGGACCCATCTTACTAAAGGCAGAGTCTTCCTTCACAAGCTTTGGGACTTACTCTTGACTTATATTTGTCATGCCTTAATACTCATTATTTGCAATATATTCTGACATCCTTTATCCTATTTCCTTTTCTTTTAATGCTGGCTATAACCCACTCAATTAACTTTACAACTCACTAATGGTTTGTGACCCGTGGTTTGAAAAAAACACTGTAATAGGCAATTAATCATAACTTCACAATTATCCAGGAAGCCTTGAAGTTCTGAATCTTTTTGTCAAATATATGCAAATTATTCTGAAATCGATCTGTGTTGCCTTGCAAGAGTTAACATGCAAACAAAAAAAAAAATATGGCATACAAACACAGGAAACTTACTTTTACTATTTTTTATTTCATTACTTTACTTTGATGATTACTGATAACAGCTTGGTCTTACCACTTGGTCATTACTGTCATTACTGTCATGATCCAAAGATTTTCCAATAAATCTTCCTTGTCAAACCACATATGATATGATTAAACATACTTTAAGTAGGTCAGTCATTCCACAAACATTTGTTTGATGCTTATTATATCAGGCATTGGATATCTAATGATGAAAGAAACACCATTTTTTATGGTGTTGTGATAGAAAATGCAGGGATGGGAGCCATTTTACAAAATACAAACATCTGTTAGAGAAACTAACATTTAAGCTGAGACTTGAAGGATGAAAAAGTCACCCACGTGAAGAACTGAGGATAAAGCATTCCAGGCAGCTAAACAGCATCTGTCAGATAAAGATGTAAAGAGCTTGAGCATTTTAGAAGAATTAAAAGGTTCTATGATTGCAGCTTGGAAAGTGAAGGTATGAAAGGTTGAAGATGAGGTTGTAAAGGTGAATATCAGGTAAATAATACAATACCTTTTAAACCATGGTGAGTAGATTGAATTTTATTCAAAGTGCAATAAAAAGTTATATTTTACCAGGAGAGTGATATAATTTGAATTATGTTTTTAAAAGAACACTGTGGCTCCTCTATGGAGAATGCATAGGAAGAATCCCCCCAAAAAAGCTGGAAAAACAATAATGAAGCTATTACACTGGTCCAGGCAAGATATGCTAACAGCATGGATTAGGCCGTGCGATAACAATACTGTAAAGTGGCTATGGTTGAAATATATTTTGAAAACAGACTCTATAGGACTTACTAAGGATTAGGTACTTTTGAAATTTTTTAAAAAATTATTTTATTGAGGAACTCTCTGGCAATCCAGTGGCTAGGACTTAGTGCCTTCACTGCCATGAACCAGGATCAGTCCCTGGTGGGAGAATTAAGATCCCGCAAGATGCAGAGCATGGTCAATTAATTTATTTATTAAAATTTATTTTACTGAAGTATAGTTGATACACAATGTGCTGTGTCAGTTTCCGAGGATTAGATGTTTTTCAAATGGGAAAAGATTAATGCCCACATTTTTGGATTTAGCAGTGGTGATATGGTTCTGCCATTTACTGGGGAAGACTGGTAGAGAAATGGCATGGGAAGAAAAATCAAAAGTTCCATTTTAAATATGTTAAGTTAAAAATGCCAATAAGGTATGCAAGAATAAAACTGAACTACCAATTTGGTTATATGAATTCACAGAAGTATAACCCAGCAATACATATTTGGGAGCAATCAGAAAATTAATGGCATACAATTGGCAAATATCACTTAGGGAGAAGAGCATATAAACAGCCCTCTGGATCCAAAGGTTCCACACCCAAGGATGGAAAATACTCATAAAAATAAAAATTCCCAAAGCTCCAAAAAGCAAAACTTGAATCTGCCACACATCAGCAATTATTTTCATAGCATTTACATTGTATTAGGTATTATAAGTAATCTAGAGATGATTTAAAGCATATAGACGATGTATAGGTTATATGCAAATATGGTGCCATTTTATATAAGGGCCTTGAGCATTCATAGATTTTGGTTTGAGGGGGGAGATGCTGGAACCAATCTCTTACGACTACTGAGAAACAACTTATCAGAACACATTGCTTTAAAAACATTTTGAAAATGTTTGCCTTTCTTTTCACAAGCTACTAAAAATGCCAGGTAGGTAATTCATATCCATGGGGTTCCCAATAAATTAATGGATAAAAGATATAGCTATGTAAATTAATGCATTTTGCTGTTTTATTTCTGCCAAGGTTGTTGATTTACTCAGTCAGCACTTCTTTTTCTTCTTTTTTTTTCCATTTATTTTTATTAGTTGGAGGCTAATTACTTTACATCATTGCAGTGGTTTTTGTCATACATTGAAATGAATTAGCCATGGATTTACATGTATTCCCCATCCCGATCCCCCCTCCCACCTCCCTCTCCACCCGATCCCTCTGGGTCTTCCCAGTGCACCAGGCCTGAGCACTTGTCTCATGCACCCAACCTGGGCTGGTGATCTGTTTCACCCTAGATAATATACATGTTTCGATGCTGTTCTCTTGAAACATCCCACCCTCGCCTTCTCCCAGAGTCCACAAGTCTGTTCTATACATCTGAGTCTCCTTTTCTGTTTTGCATATAGGGTTATCGTTACCATCTTTCTAAATTCCATATATATGTGTTAGTATACTGTAATGGTCTTTATCTTTCTGGCTTACTTCACTCTGTATAATGGGCTCCAGTTTCATCCATCTCATTAGAACTGATTCAAATGAATTCTTTTTAATGGCTGAGTAATATTCCATGGTGTATATGTACCACAACTTCCTTATCCATTCGTCTGCTGATGGGCATCTAGGTTGCTTCCATGTCCTGGCTATTATAAACAGTGCTGCGATGAACATTGGGGTGCACGTGTCTCTTTCAGATCTGGTTTCCTCGGTGTGTATGCCCAGAAGTGGGATTGCTGGGTCATATGGCAGTTCTATTTCCAGCTTTTTAAGAAATCTCCACACTGTTTTCCATAGTGGCTGTACTAATTTGCATTCCCACCAACAGTGTAAGAGGGTTCCCTTTTCTCCACACCCTCTCCAGCATTTATTGCTTGTAGACTTTTGGATAGCAGCCATCCTGACTGGCGTGTAATGGTACCTCATTGTGGTTTTGATTTGCATTTCTCTGACAATGAGTGATGTTGAGCATCTTTTCATGTGTTTTTGTGCCATCTGTATGTCTTCCTTGGAGAAATATCTGTTTAGTTCTTTGGCCCATTTTTTGATTGGGTCATTTATTTTTCTGGAGTTGAGCTGGAGGAGTTGCTTGTATATTTTTGAGATTAATCCTTTGTCTGTTGCTTCGTTTGCTATTATTTTCTCCCAATATGAGGGCTGTATTTTCACCTTGCTTATAGTTTCCTTTGTTGTGCAAAAGCTTTTAAGTTTCATTAGGTCCCATTTGTTTATTTTTGCTTTTGTTTCTAAAATTCTGGGATGTGGGTCATAGAGGATCCTGCTGTGATTTATGTCGGAGAGTGTTTTGCCTATGTTCTCCTCTAGGAGTTTTATAGTTTCTGGGCTTACATTTAGATCTTTAATCCATTTTGAGTTTATTTTTGTGTATGGTGTTAGAAAGTGTTCTAGTTTCATTCTTTTACAGGTGGTTGACCAGTTTTCCCAGCACCACTTGTTAAAGAGGTTGTCTTTTTTCCATTGTATATCCTTGCCTCCTTTGTCGAAGATAAGGTGACCATAGGTT